TAAAGCACTGGGAGTCTCTTGCTCATTAAATAGCAAATGCATGATGTCTTTTACTTAGTGGCTGTTACATTGTTTTTTTGAAAACTAGAGCTTGTAGTAAGTTATTTCCAACTTTTACTTCCCTTATCTGAAGGAAAGCTAAGGTGTATAGCATTTTATGCGGCATATCACATCAGCTGAGACAGTAATTAGAGGAAGTTGTAAAACAATTAAATCAATGTCGTATGAGTAAACATAGTAAGGATAAACTTCATAGTTGCTGTAAAAAGAAATTGTGTCTCTTTAATCAGAACTCTTTGCCTTTCTCAACAAAATAGTTGTTGAAGGGAAGAGAATGCATTTTCAAAAACTTCTTTGAAAAATTCTTCATAAAAGGCTTTTAAGGAAAATCAGAAATCTTGGAAAGGATACCTTATAGCAGATCCTTTCTCACAGGGCCTCATGCCACCCATTTCACAAAGGGTTGTGGAAGAGGGACATATATCCCTTACACTGGAAGTATGACCCTATCTTGAGTCATGTAGTCCACCTGAGCTTGCAACACAACGAAGAACACAGATTAGCTCACTTGTGCTCAAGTATATTAAAAAAGGCCAATGGTAATTTATGCTACTTTAATCAATGATCTGGAAGAAAATGTAATATACTTACTGATACAGATTACACCCAGAGTGGGGAATAGTAAAGATGAAGCAGATAGATCACAATATTTAGGACAAATAAAATAGTAGTGTACCCATCTCCCCTCCTTGCATTCTGGAAGACACGATATCTACAGAAGACTTGAGTGGTGATTCAGTTGAATGTGAACTCCCAATGTAATGCTGTGGCCAAAAGATTTAATGTGATTCTTGGACGTATAAACCAAGGATGCAAAAGATTAATTTACAGACTCATATGAGACTGTTGTGCTTGGCATACGTCTGCTTGCTACATCACGTTTGATGGTAATCATAACTGGAAAGGGTACCAAGGATGAATTAAAAGTTTCAAAGAAAAGCAGAGAAAATGATTGAAAGTTTGTGAAATATGTCCTCTAGTGAGTGCTTCAAAGACCTTGATCTTTTCTCATCAGAAAGAAGTTAAAGTCTGTGCTTGCCCACACAAGCAATGGGAATTGGATAATAAAGGACTTGCAAACATAGGAATAATAAATTAAAATGGATGGAACTTTAAACTGGACACATTCAGAGCAGAAATAAATAGCCATTTGTTTAACTCCAAAGGTCATTAACCTTTGGAACAGTTTATCAAGAGCTGTTGTATGTTCTTCATCACTGAAATCTGTAAATCAAGATTAAAGGCTTTTCTAAAAGACATGTTAGAATAAACTGGGATTGACTGAAGGAACTTGTGTGTATTATAAAGAAAGTTGGAACAGATGAGCACAGTCGGCTCTTGTGGCTCTATTACCTGTTCATCTATCTATAAACAGAGTAATATATTGCCATGTTGTAAAGTAGGTATGCTGATAACAGAGTGCCTGAAAGATCTGCTAAGGTGGGTGGTGTTTAGAATATTGATTAGTGACCTGAAAAAAGTGCCTGACAACAATGAAAATAAAAATTTTGTCTTGAATGAGAATTTGGAGACAACATAAAAGACAGTTGAGATTTAAGGCAGACAAGACTAAGAGACATCATAAATGCAAATGAAATTGGCTTTTGTGAATGATGTGTATGATTGCATAAAGGGTAGGATAGAAAAGAAACAATGTCCTTATATAAATTGATGATACTTGCTTGCTTTGAATGCTTCATTCACTGCTCTTCAAATGAAGTACAGCAAGAATCAAAATTTCTGAAGATGATAAAACAATGAGATTATTAAAGAAATTTTTGTATTAAATCTAAGATGAAGTGCAGATATACAGCTCTTGTGTGGTGACTTTGAGAGGTGTGTGTTACAGTGGTTCCTTGCATTTCTGTCAAACCCAGAGAAAGTACTATCCCACTGTAAAATCAGGATATTGGGCTAGTCAAAGTACTGGTCTGATTCAGCAGAGTGGGATCTGAGTTTCTATTATTTCTATACTATACGAGGCTTGCAAGGCAATAAATGTTTTGTCAATCTTTGCAAGAAAGTATGACCCAAAAAGACAAAATTAATATATTCATTTATTTGTAATTCGTGATATAATTTTTTCAAATATCTCAGAACTTCTATATAATAGAATGCTTGTGTTTTTCACAGAATATAGAACCAATAATGTAATTTAAAAATAAAAGCTCGGAATGTCTTTTGAAAGTTTAGCCTTAAATATTCCTGACCTTAATTTAAAAGTTGATCATGCTGCCTCTACTTTGTTATAGAAATATCAAATCTACGAAGTTGCACCAAGTGCTGTATTCTTTGTCTGCTATCCCAATTTATATTCAGATGTTAGGTGCTGAGTGCAGTGTCAGATAAGACTGTGTGAGTTCCATACTGTTTGTAAATGAAAATTATAGCCCAGGTCCTTAATGGTGTCTGCTTTTTATTGAGGATTATGGCAGAGTTTATCTTTACAAGCCCAGCGCCAAAGTATAAACGAAACTTAAAGCCAGCAATTTGCATTTTCCCCCTACTGTGATCAGGACCTGTAATTACCATGCTGTTAATTGATTCTGAATTCTCCAGTATCATTAAGCCAAAGTTCCTGCAAAGCAAGTACATTTGGGAATGAGAGAATGATTGTGAGCTAAATTGGAAAAAATATTTATTGAAAGCTTTATATCAGAAACTCTTACAAAATTCACTTAATTCACTGTGTGTGGATTGGAAGCCTTGCTACTTTAGTTTTAATTCTGCTGCTAAGAGCTACAGAATCAGTAGCAAAAAAAAGTCAGCTTCAATTGTCTGTACTGACCTGCATTCAGTTGTTATTGTGATAGAATTCTGACTAATAGATGCTTCAAGAATAGGCTTTTATCTGTTTCTACTTGTGCATACTTTGCCTACATCTTGAAGCTAATTTTTTCCCCCAAGATTTTTCATTAGCTTTTAAAATTAATACTGTACTCAGATTAAATTCCCCCAAAGAAACTAACAAACAGATGTACAACACTTACCTAGATGGAAAAAAAATCTAAAATATCTATTCTTTGTACACTGGCACTTTAAGGCAAAAGAAGCCTAGGAAATGATGAGGGGTTTGGTTGTAAACTTACCATTTCTGATGGTAGCTCCTTGCCAAATATGGACCAGGCTACTGTACACTTAGTCTATCAGAGCAATAGCTCAAGTTGCTTTAATTATGCAATGTGAGTGTGGATAGCAGAGTGGGACTACTTGTAAATACAATACGATGTCATGTTAGTAATGTTGAAAGCTGAATCTGCTGTTAGCATTTGCTAGAAGCAAAAATTGTGAATTAAAGAGTGGCATATTCCCTTAGCTAATTTACTATTGCCGTTAGAACTTTTGGAGGTCAGGAGATTCTTATTTTGTTGAAAGACATTCTTAATATTAATAATTTTTAAAAGGCAAATGATTTGACACTTGTTAAAGTAAATAAATAACTCTTTTAAATAACACTGATCTATCCAGTAGCTTTTTTGCCAAAGTATTAAAATGCTTAGGACATCTGTAACAGATTGGATGAATTCCTGTTTTGTCTGAGTTGAAAATTCTTTGGAATTATAAACTGCAGAGCAAGGTATTGGCATTATCATTACAAGTAACAGACTGCTGGACTCGAGAGCATTTTAAAGAAATAAGATATGCATGCATTTTAAATTTGGTGAAAATTTGAGTATTTTGATTTTGTCTAGTGTGGTTGGAAAACAAAATTTTGGTTTTTTGTGTGTTTCAGGATTTTGCTCTTAAGGAGATCCAAAACTATGGAAAGAAACCATGTAACAGCACCATGGATGTAAAGTTAACACATTGATCGGGTGTTCTCTTGAAAACCTGTTAAATGCCCTAATTTAGATTTCGAGTGTATTTATCTGAGCTGTGTAGCTCACCTTGTTAATAAACCAATGAAACATTTTAATAAACTTGGATTACAGGGGATGCAAATTGTTTGTATGCACATCTGTACATATGTAGACATTAGTTTTATTAGTAAACCATTATCTTAATGCACTACTTTGAACTGGTGACAGATGGCGGTAATTAAGAATTTAATCTTCCTTTTTTTAGCTGTTTCAATTTCTGACTAAAAGAGTTTTAATTAAAAAAAACCAAACAAAACAAAACATATGTATTTGCTTTCTAAAACTTTTAAGCTCTTTTCAAAGACAATGATGTCATGTGTTCTCTAGGAAATATTGGAAATCATTCACAACGGTGTTTTAGAAAGGAGGAAGACATTTCAGTGACAAAGCATATCACTGATTAGCTTTGTTATGTGACTAGTGAAGACAAAAAATATGCATCTTTTTTGAAGAACTATTTTACACACACTGAGTAAACATTTATTTATTTATTCTTTATTTATAAATTAACAGGCATTATGCCCATATTTTTAATTTGAGATGGAACCAAATGGGTCATTCACTTGGTGATAATACATATTTATCATCATTTCCTACATAAAATTGATTAGTCTACCTGAACCTATGTTCAGGCAGTCAGTTATCTAAGTGTATAACCTAGTGCCTTTTTAAAAATGAGATTAAAAAAAAGAGCAGATAGTTTCTGAGGATGTACATTTTCACTCGAAAGTTGATCTCTCTTACTCAGTAGAAAATACAGTAAAAATGGATCGGGTGCCCTCTTGATATTGATTCACTATAAATTCATTAAAGTTAATGTCATTTATGCCAAGTGAAAATGTACCTTCATAAAAATTAATTTGTAAGTACTTATTTCAATTATTTTACATTAACCAAGTTCACTGCCATATTCTATTTATTTCAGTGCAATTGGAAAATTCAATCCATTGGATTAAATCGTCCAAATCTTACTGAGGCAAAGCAGTGAAGTCAAGCGAATTTTACCTGCAGGAATTAAAAATACAGATTTAGCTTTTTTTTTCCCTTCTCTGGCATGTAATACTATAACATAGTGGCCTATTCAACCTGGGATAGTGTAGACATTAACATCCAATGTGTGGCACAGCTCAGCCTTTAAATAATTATCTGGTAATGAAAGACAAATTGTTCCATTGTTCATGGTTACTTTTTCTTGCAGTGGTTTCTGTACCAGCCCCATGCCTTACAGGGTTCCCGGTACAACAGAGAAGAATTTCCTGACATTTACGTCTGAAATGGGCAACATTATACAAAATTGGATTGACAGCGGAGTTGGCAAAAGTGAATAACACTATCCAGAAGAAAACTGGTGGCAAAATATTTAAATCTTTTTTGTACTTCTGGACTAAAATTAAAAGAGTAATTATGATAATTGGGCTCCACATGATGAAGAAAGAGATCATCAGCACAAGGAGGGCTCGGAATAGTTTGTAGTCTTGCTGGGAAACACGTATCTGATGATTTTCTGAGTAGGCTAAACCAGCATTTAAACTCCTTCTTGATGCTTTTGTAATCTGCAGTAAAAGAGAAGAAATTAACTTTCATTGAAACCTAGAAGAATTATTAAACATTTTTACAAGTGCAAAAGTAAATCTTGGCACATGATGTTTCTGTTTTGAAAAATGACTACAAAAAAGGCATTGCCAAATTCCATTTTTACTTTTTGTCCATTTTACTTTTTGTCAATGGTTCAATTTCAAACATGCTCACTTTACTAGGTTGTTCTCCTCATGGCTTTCTACCAGCCATAAATACTTTTCAGCATAAAACAGAGCCTTAATTACTCATGAAATCCCATTAACTTCAAATTATGACCTCATTTGTTCTATATAAGTAAATCCATTGATTTTTTTTTTTCACAAATGCAAACTGGAACATAGTTAACAATCCTGTTGATGCGCAAGAAGGAACACAATCCAAATCCCTTACGGCCGTGCTGTAATTATAAGGTAGGTATTAGAAGGAGCATGAATTTATAACAGTAACTCAAACATGATACTTTTTAAATTTGAATGGCATTTTACATTAAATTTTGTGTAAACTTTTAGTTTTTCAGTCAGTACTCAGAATTGCTTTCTACAAACCAACCTGAAATCTTATGGATCCTTCTGTCACTATGTAAGTCCGTGTCTTGTAAAAGTATTGCCTGATGTAATAAACCAGACTACGGGTAGTTTGGGACTCCACTATTCATGGATGTGAATCATCTGTCATTAAGTAGACTATTGAATCCCAATGGCTTGCAGAAAACTCTAAATCTTATGCTCTACACCCCTGTGTTCAATGAAGTTGGCATAGCACAATAGGTCTGTTACATTCACATATAAGATGCAAATAAAATAAAATTGAAATATTTAGCAAACAAACATTTAGGCTAAATAATTCAGATGCCATTTTAACCCCTGCATGGGTAAAGAAGAGGTATTTTCAAAAGCCTGGATCAATGTGGTATCTAAGTAGGAAAGTCAAAAGGTGTAAGACTCTTCCTGCTACTTTTACGTGTTACATTTCCTTTAGCAATAAGGATAACGCTAATACTAGTAATACTTAATAGCTTCCTGGTTCAGGTAAGGATGAAAATGGTTATATACATATTGAGTAATTTGTCATTCTTTCTGCAGCTTTCTGAATTTGTCACAGAGATAGATGGCCTAGAATAAATATTCATCAAGAAACTAGACTTCTACCAAAGATTTCAACAGAAGGTAGGTGTATAAATCAAAGCCCGTGATCCAAAAATAGGCTTCTCAACAGCTGCTGAGCCTGAGAAGGGGACAGTCTCACTAGCTGCTTCCCTGATTTAAAAGGTACAGAGAATTCTGATGTTTTGAACATGTAAAACTATTCCAGCCTGATGATCTCCTGCTGTACCCATTTGGAATCCAGAAACCAGGCTAACTCCTCCGAACAATCCGATCCAAGAGCCGTTCTCAGAGGGCATCTAACCTGCCTTAGAAAGAATGACAGTTTCATAAAATACTTCTACTACAGAAGTGGGAAAAAGTGGGAAAACCAAGTTCTGCACCCTCCTCAGCCTCCACTGCTCAAAACGGCTACAGACTGTCCTCATCAGATACCTTTGTACACCCCCATGTACGTACCCTCCACCTTTCCTGCTGGTGCTGCTTGGCCTACAACTAAGAATGCAAGAATCACCAGGACTGCAGCAAATAATATGCAACTGCATCTTAAGGAAGTGCTCAACTGAAACGGGGTAGCAGTGGTATGCTTTGGATCCCTTTTCTGTCTGCCTAGTGTAAGGAATCTAGATACCTATAGTGGGCATCTGGACCAGGAGAGAACCAGGAACTTCTCACTCTGAGAACCAGGAACTTAGAAGTCATGTATACACAAGTATGTAACTTCCAGAACATGAAGGTCTTTACTAGTTCTTACTTCTTATCTAAGTCTTACCTGAAGGGGGAACAGTGCAAAACCAAATAATTTAATTACAAATCATGGCGTCTAATTGGTCATTTTTGCCAGGGTTCTGGGAAGTGTTATGTAAAAATAACTTAGTTTCAGATTAAGTTTTAAAGTATACATTTCTGGAGTATATTTGTTAACAAATTTGAGGACTTCTGTCTTTAGTGAATCATCATCATGACAGATGCTGTGTTATTTGAATACAAGAATGCTTTGAAGTGCTTCCAGCAACACTGAGCACGGTACTCTGTGTGCACTGGCATCATGGAGTGTTCTCACCAAGTGAGAGAGAATCTGTTCTTGGGAATAACTCAGGGATTAAGACATTCTCCAGCTGAGTTCTGGTTGCTTCCTGGAGAGCTGTGTGAGAGAGAAGATTCAATATAACAGATGGGATCCTGTGATGGGCCTCATTCCTGTTTCAGTTCAGGAGAAATGGTAACGCATCTTAGCATCTGTGTTATCAAGTTGGAAAAGAAATGTGACCATGGCAGCATGCAGCTGTCTTGTAATCCAGTATTCCAAACACTTTTGGGGGCTTCTAGCTCCCTATGTGCCATTGTGTTTTCTAAATTTACCTGTTGTAATCCGGAGTCTGCAAGGACAAGAGGCACACTGTTCCTCTCATGGTCTCTGACCAAGGACTGTGGCATTCCTTGGCCTGCAGTTTTCTGCAGTTCTTTCAGGGGGCTCAGACTCCCCGCTGAGTTACTGTATGTTCTTTGTCTACATCAAATAGGAGGTTGCAAAAGGCAAGTGCTTTACTTCACTAGAAGAAGTTTACCTAATGCATTTACCTCAAGGTTAAAATAAGCTTATAGAGTGTACAGAAACTAAGAGCTAATGATTTTGACTATGAGTTTAAACCTGATCAATAGGCAAGGACATGTATAGCCCAGATTCTATGTCCTAGGTTCATGGAAACATCTACGTGCAGCTCTGGTGCATGGATCCACAACCCCTTGGTGCTCAGCATTTCATCAGTTAATTCCCTGCTCAATAATCTGTGTATTTTGAGGTTCTTTTCCAAAACATGTAATTTGCCTTATACATAGTATGAGAAGTTTAATTACCTAATACAGGAATCAAGAAATTTTGGTGGCAGTTGCTAAAAACTAGGTATTCCAGCACTTAGTTTGAAGATTTCTAGCTCTTTCTCACTCCGTTTTTGGAAGAGGAAGGGATATGAAATCAGATGTTTTAAAAGGAATTTAGGTAATTACTATCATACTGGCTAGAATATAGATTAAAACTCTGTGGTGCCTGGTGTCTTGGCCTACATTTCAGCAGTTAAACAACGTCCACTCAGAAAGAAAGTGGAAGCTGAGTGTTTAATTTACAGTTTTTGTTTGCAAAGTTTGAGTGGAGGAATAAGTACATTCTAGCGAGATCTGTGTACTAAAAAAACATGCAGAAAATCAGTAGGTCTAAAAGGGAATGGATTTTTATAGTCCTGCCTCTCTTTGCTTTCTTATAAATCCCTTGTGATTAGGCTCAAGGAAAGCAAAATCTAGTTTGTAGTTATTTCAAATGCTTGACTCTTTTAGCATTTTAGGAGATTGACAGTCTTTAAATATGAACAGCACATAAATGGAGAAGTATATTAAATATTGTATATAAATGAAGACAAACTTTGTGTTGAACTTCTGGTAATGTGCTGTTCAAGTATGGTAATGTGCTGTTCAAGTATGTTCTTAGTTGAGACACACAGGCTGTTACTTACAGGTTGAAGTGCCTCATTTTGTATCACATACTTACCATTTACTAAGCAAATGATGTCTATTCCCTTTAGGTGTATTTGTATTGAGTGACAACATGTTGATGCCTAGTGAGTTACTGTTTACTTCCCTTTGTTCTATAACAAAATGTAAAGGAAAAACATACCTGTAAGATTTTGGAATAACTGATGACAATGACTAATCCTGGTATTAGAAAGAAAACAATGGCAAAGGTCACATCCCAAAGTATTTCTCCTGCAATGCTGGGCCAAACCAAGGTGCAAATCTGAATCTCCTGTTTACAAATAAAGAAGAAAATTAACATTGCACAGTTACTTTTACCACAAAGTTGTCCTTATCTCCCTCTATGCCTACGGAGAAAATGGCTGCAGACTAAACTGAGTCTCTGAAAACTTTCTACTTAGAGCAGTCCATTAATGTATTACTTCATGGTTTTAAAAATTACAAATAGATGTGTTGTCCACAATCTAAATATTGCCATAAATTTCATATCAAATGGTAATAGCAACTTTAAAATTGAAACTTACCAACCTGCGACTTAATCATGTATTTGAGTGGCATGTTGGGTGTACTTTTGTACGCTTTTCAAACACCATGCAGAAAAATGTGTGCATGGCCATTTTGTACAGAGGCTGCCACATGTGCTGGGCAGCTACTCGGCTCTCCCAGCATGCCGACCCCTCGGCAAGGGAGAAGATTGCTGAAAAGGGGATTTCCGAACTGCACTGCGGAATGCAAAAAAAAATCCCAGCC